AAGCGGGGGGGTGTGGGAGACGCGTGTGCGCTCTGCGTCATGACGTCCCCTCCCCCTCCGCGTGCGGCGTAAGGCTGTAGGCGGTGGTCGTGCTGTGCCGTGGGTAGCTCATAGCTGGGTTCGGAAGTGGGGGCGCTCAGCCCGCAAGGGTCTGGGGCGGGGGGTTGGGTCCCCATGACGGGGGGAATTTCTGGGAGGGGGTCTTCTTCCTTGTGGGGAGGCTGGAGCCTCTGGGGGCTGGGACTGGGGCAGGAGGCCGAGAAGCGCTGCTCGGGGGCTGCAGCTCCTGATCTGAAGGCGGCTGCTGCTCAGGGGAGTGGGGCCCCCGGAGAGGTGAAGCTCCATCGCAGCTGTCACAAAGTGCTTCCCTTGGAAGGATGAAGCCCACCACCAAGGGCTGCGCTGAGGGTAATGTGTCTGCTTGTGCGTTTGTGGGGTGGGGTGGGATGGGATGGGATGGGGAGCAAGGAGGTTCTAGGATCTCTCCATTCTCTCCCCTCTTCTGAAGGTGCTGCAGCCTCCATGTGCCTACCCAAGAAGAGATGAGAAGGATGTGAGTGCTGCAGAAAATAGTTTTTCTCCAGCCCCATCTGTGGCTCGTCCTCTTGAAAGTGTGTGTAAGGGACACTGGGCTCGCACACAAACCTGCTATATTGGGCACACCTGATGTCAAAGATTTGTCCCTTATGCATGATTTGGGTGGTACAAGATCCTGGGGTGCCTTTTAGAAAGGGCTGGGAATTACCTGAACATCCCCTTCCTCACTGAAACTCGTAGTGGTATCCAAAGCTCAGGATGTGATCCAGGGCTAGCACTTTCAACACATTTGTATATGCATTGGTTAACTAAATATTCTCCTAGACACTGTATCAGTGCCCTTAACTCCAACATGACAGTAACTATAAGGATATTACACATGATCCCATGGCAAATCATACTGGTTCTTACCTACTTTTACCTGAACAGCATCCCTTGTCCTTAACAACACCACAGCCCATGTCCTCTTCACTTCTGTAAGTGTCAAATTCTCTTGGTCAGCCCATTGGAGGTAGAGAGCCCAGGAGGCAATGGGAAGCCCACAAATAGCACATGGGAAGAAGAGAATCCCCTTGGAGGGCTGGGATTAAATGACACTACAGCTAGCACTAAAAATAATCCACACCTGGTAGCACTTAAAACACTAAAGTTTGTCAGGTATGAATGGTCAGCAGCCCAAGCTAAAACTGAACCAGCTCTGATTTTTGAAGTAGAACAACTTGAAGGTAGTGATTGCTCATTTTGTCACCGACTGTAGTTCTGTAGAACCCACCACAATTTAAGAATGAAAAATCTTCACAAAGACTGGAAATAAATATGGTGCAGGGTCCTGCTGCTGAAGAAAGCCATGGAGCATGTTTTGCATCTGTTTGAATTTCTACAGGCTGATTCATCTGAGACGTACTAGTAAGTGAAGGCAGAAATCAAAGCCTGCTTATTGGTGTCCTGTAAGCTCTTGCGAGGGCAAACATTGTCCTACTGTACTGGACAGTGCCCAACACAATGTGCCCTGTGATTTTTTTTTTGGCTTCCAAGGTGCTCCATACTACATATCAATAGGGACTAATCTATGCACTGTTTTTGTACTGGGAAAATGTATTCCAGGTAGTAGTGTGAGACCTTTTATTTTCAATGGAAAGAGGAGTAGCAGTCCAATCCCTAGTGTAGACAAAGGATGGCAAAAGATCCCTTATCTCTGTGGCAGGGGTGTCAAACTTACTTGCTCCTGTGTGTTCCCTGAAACCCCGCTCGAGCAGCAGGATAAGCAGGACTGCCAATAACTCCTATGGGTGCTTGAGCCACTATGTTTGCTAAGGGAGCC